CTGCTACTGCTACTGCTACTGCTACGCTGGTGCTGCTGCTGCTGCTACTGCTACTACTACTACCCCAACCATCCTCAGTGGGCTAGAATATTTTTTTGATGACCTTTTTTTTTGATCCCCCGTTGAATATTTTTTGATTCTATTTTTATTTTTATTTTGATCCCTTACCCAATCATGAGTGCGAGATGTGCGAGTGTCAGCTATCCTGCGTCCATACGTAGTTGCTTAAGTAGCTAGGGCAGCTAGGAGCTTACTGAGGGCGGGGCGGGATTTAAAAGAAAAAACATGCAGAAATCCTTGGCTTGTAGAGTTGGTCTCCTTGGCTTATTATGTTTCTTGATTTCCTTGTCCGTGAAACCATGACCTCTTCACACTGCGATTGCTGTCCATCTTTCGCCATGTCGTGGGATTGCACAAGTCATCCTGCAGGCATGTGATCATGGAAACATATGGAAAAACTGCATCTCCAACCTGTTCCAGGACCCTTTTTGTTTTGCGGGGTCCACTGGTGGTGGGGGCTGAGCCTCTGCTTGATCTATCAACTTGGCACGGATCTCCCCAGGACCTTCCGAGGGCAACATGAGTCCAGTGCACAGTTGGAACACCAGGATTTTTGGGGAGTTTTCTTTGCAGGGCCACGAGAAGTCCTGGCAGGGCCATGATTCCATGATTCCCGTGCGGTGTCCAGGCTAAGCGTAAGATGGAGTAAGATGGATGGAACGGGCGGAGTGTTTGCATTCCATCTCTTCCGAATCCGAATCATGGAAACTCCATGACGCTGCTGTTGAGCGATTCTTTCCACCTCAGGAGGATGAGCGTTCCTCGCGAGGAACGCCATGTCGCGTTGAGAGAGGATCCCGCCGGGTCACGGTTGAGCGTTTTCCATCTCCCCAGAATGTGTTCGTTCCTCGGCACTCGAGTCGGTGGGACTGGGTACGACCGGAGGGTCCCAATTCCGACAAAGTGACTGGGGCCGTAGACCAGGACACCCTAGCCCCTTAGAGGTGATTCGGGGTGTCCATTCACCACCCTTTGTGGGTCCTAGTAGGGCTGGTGTTCTTCCCATCGTTTTTGTTGGGGTTCCCGGCCCTTTGGCCAGGCTTTGGACGGGAGAGGCTCCTGCGGTCAACATCGATCCTGGCCGACGGCTCAAGCTGAAACCATCGGAGTCCGCCGATTCCGAGGATTTGTTCTCATCAAGCCAAGGCCCAGCCCCAAACCGCAGCTCAGAATCCAAAGCTCAGCCCAGACAGATATAGATGATACATATATATATAGGTTAGTTCTATAGGTTGTGTTTGATTCAAGTGGTGGACGGTTTTGCGGAAATAAGGTTGGAAGTTCTTCTTCGACGTCGAATCCTCATTGATCAGGAGGACAAACCCGACTCACTCGTGTAGGAGAGAAAGCTCTGCCAGGTCACCGTGGTGGTAGGGAAAGACCGGCCCAATGGCTGGACATTCATAGCAAATTCCGATATTCCACCGTGATTCGAGGACGTTTTCCTCGAGATGGTATGCACCTACAAAAACATCGAACCAGAACTTTCAGCCCAGCCGCCGGGCGAATAAAGGCCCCGGTGAACACATGACAATGGCCAAACCAAGTACTGTCATATGCTGCGTGTTCAGATCGGACCAGTTTGAGAATGTCCCAGTTTGAGAACAGACCAGGTGAACAGGTGAACCCGGGACATGAGACATAAAGCAACAAACAAGAATTCTTATTATTTTCGTGCACCAAAGCAAGAAGGCTTGCCGCAGCAGAACTGAGCAGAACTGAATGCCTGGGACATCCACATTCTCACAGCAGTTCTTTCCTGTCGCATGTGCCGATGGACTCCAACAGCCTCTGGGACCGATGAGCGACGTGCAAGTGTTGCGTGGGGCATGGACGTGGCAAGACAGGGCGGTTGTAGCACACGAAGAGGTGTCAATCGAGAGAGAGAGAGAGATAGAGAAAGACAAAATGACATTTGATCAGAAAAGCATCATGAAGGCGGGTGGGGAGAGAAAGATGGATCGCACTGCACGGTCTTTTTTTACTTCTGCCACTTCTACCAGCAATCCTTTGTGTCCAGGATCATGTAGAAGGATGACAGACATGGGATGCTTTAGGCAAAAGACCATCCTCATACCTCATACCGATGGCATCCTGACAAGTTGAGAGTTCAGATTATATTTTTGTAATGGTTTGGTCAATTATCATGCACATATCATGCATTGCAACGTTCAACTTGCGGTCATCCAAACATGCGGCACTTTGGGTAGTCTGTGCTGTGTGAAACTATAACTATATGACTATATATATATATATATGTATATACATACATAGCCATTTACACAGCAACTTAACTCATCAGCAGCGGGGAAGAGTCATGCGAGAAACCCTAGGGCTCCTGGCCCACCTCCGTTTCGAAGATGGGACAGGGGTGGTGCGAGGGAGGTCTAACCACCGAACCTGAGGATATGGTTGGAGCCCTAGGGGAAAAAACACTCCAAGTGTCTCTCTCTCTCTCTCTCGACGTTCGCACGTTCGAGCCAACAGAGCTGCGTGATGCTGTTTTCTGTTGCTGAGGAAATGTGGCGAAGAATCCCGTGTCAGATGAGGAGAAGAAGTGCTTTGGCCTAGTCTTCATGGCACTTCTCTTGAGGTCAAGGTGGTGGGGGTTTCAGCGATCTCATCATGGTCACGGTACTGGGCCGATGGTCTTTTTGGACGCTCTTTGGTGGCCATGCGTTGGCGCTACAGCTATGTTCTCGCATGCACCCAGAGCTGTTTGGTTCCGCTCCAGAGTGAAGCTTTTTGGGCATGTAGGAAGTTGGGTTTGATCTATTTGAGGCCACCTGTTGTTTGACCCTTGACAAAGCACATCATCCTGAATGGCTCCCACAGCCTGTGATACTTTGCAGGCCCACAGGGAAGCATCACCTCTTTGCCAGGTCCTTTTGGTCACTTCCAGAAGACGCGAGGATGGGCAAAGAAGTCAGTGAAGCAAGAACACGTTCCAAACGCTGTAGAGCTGGCCATTCATTCGGCCAGGGTGTTCTTAACTTGTGTTTTGTTTTGTGGGTTTTTGGGTGAATGAATGATCTTCCTGATTCTTCCGTTCGGCTTACGAACTGGATCTCCTCAATGGTTCGGTCACGAAGGATTTTCAAGGGTCACGAGTTGGGGACTCCACAGTTTGATCACAGACTGAAGAAGCTATCAGATGCCATGGTTTCCCGGGTTTCCACTGGGTGAATCCCATGCCAATGGGGAATGTGTCGTTTTTAGGGTGTGCTCAGCAGCAAAATCCAACTGATGCATCTGAGCTTTGCTCGCCTGAGCTGAGCCTCGCTCCAGGCTGCTGCAGAACTTCGTGGCGCGCGAGGCGACGCCTGAGGAGAAGCCATGAGTCTTTTTACTATTTTTTCCGTCGCTGCGTTGCGAAATGATTAACTATATTTTTTCTGGAGGTCTGGAGGTAGAGCTGGTCACCAGGTTTTTTGGGGGAAGGATTTGTGTCACTTCAGGATTTGGGGGAAGGATTGGAATGTAGGTCCAATCACCTACTCACTTTGGAAAAAGGTTAATTTTCATTGTTTTCCAGGGATTCTCCGGCTTTGGAGTCAGTACCTTGGTTGGATGTTGGCACGAAGTAGGTGGTCGGGTGGGGGGTTGCGAGCGTCATCTCTTGGGGGCGAGCCGGCTAGGCTGGTGTGAATGATGTACAGCCAAGTATGATGAACTTTCAGGGATAACTAACATGGTTGGACACATCCTGAAGAGCGCTCCAGCAATTCACCTTCAGAAGATAGGGACCTAAGATCCAGCATAGATATATAGTTTTATGACTTATGATTATGATAGCTGTTTACTCCTAATGATAGCCTGGTTCTCGTTCATCCCGTGAACTTGCTGTTCATCCTATGAATTTGCATGGGTTCTTTGGCATTGTTCTGTCCAATGCCTTATTTAGCCGTTGGGAGGTGTAATGTGTTTTGTATTTCTTCCTGTTTGATTCTGGGATGTTTGGCATGTCTTGGTGTTGTGTGAAATACCTTTCCTGCATACCACAACATACCACACCAAGCCTTCCAGATGGCACCCCGGCACACCGCCCATTTATGGGCTGACTGAACGACCCCACAGACATCCACATCAAGACTCTCCAGCAACTTTTTTCTATCACCGACGGGCTAAAGTTAGGATTAACCAGAAAAGACGGGAACGCAGAAGACATTGGAGATTCTTCAAACGCACATGTCTGTGGGCGAGAGCCACTAAGACAGCCAAGGAACAGTTACAGAAAAGTAGTCTTGCTAAGAGGAAATGTTTGAAACAACACAGCTTCAAAAAATCATTAAACCATGCAAGACATTGGTTCAAATCCACGATCAAGAAAAGGAAACAATATTTTCAATATAAATGCTCTGCTATCAAGTTCCAAGAAACCAGTTTAAATCAGAGCAACAAACTACAAAAAAATGAGGCGAAACAATGGAAGCTAAAACAAGGAAGTCGCTTGAAAGTTGCCACTTTGAATGTAAGAGGATGCAATCACCTTACCAAACGGGAAGTAATTGATGATATTATGAAGAAGCATTCATACGATATACTACTTCTAACAGAGACCAACGTTAATACCTCCAGCTGGGAAAAATGGGACAGCTCAACTTGTTTCTTTAGTAGTAATATTGACACCAAAATAAGAGAACGAGAAATGAAAAAAAGGGACGAAAACATACACCCTGGAAGGGCTAGAACAAACTACAGAACATCGGAGGACTTTGAAAATGCCGGAGTAGGAATAGTGATTAGTTCATCACTCCTTCCAAGTCTGCGAGATATTAGACAAATTAACGGCCGGATAATAATAGCCACGTTTGAAGCACACGGCTCACCTCTTTCCTTTATTTGTGCATATGCACCTCACAGCGGACACACTATTGAACAGAAAGAGGAATTCTACGACCAACTATCCACAGAAGTGTCGCAAATAAAAGGGCGCTTCTTGATTGGAGGAGACTTCAACGCCCGTATTCATTACGTTAGAGACAACGATATCGATGTATGTGGACCACATATCATAGGCAGAGGAATGGAATATCTAGATAACATGAATGAACATACAAAAGAAAATAGGGCACTTTTCCTTGGGTTTTGCAAATTACACCGCCTTCAAATTGCAAACAGCTTGTTTTCGAAACCGCCTGAAAAGTTAGTCACTTACAAGGAAAAAGTCCATATGGATGAAAACGAAGAATACAATGGCCCCCCATATGATGCAATAAAATATGCACAGATCGATTACTGGCTCTGTGGGCAGATCGAGCAAAGAGCAATATCAGATATCCAAAGTAGATATTCAGACCATTTTGTGTTGGAATGCAAGCTCAATATTTCTTTCCCTATATTTAAAAAGGATAATGCACCACGTACGTTGCGATATGCGAAACCTGACTCAGACAGATGGATTTTCTACAATAATAACATTCGGTCTTTGCTAGAGGGGAAAAGATGCGACTTGGATTCACTAACAGAGGCCATGAAAAACGCGGCCGCAAGCTCACTAAGGAAAGAGCCTCCGAATAAAACGAAAAAAATTATCCGTCAAAGTACTTGGGCGAAAATTGAAGAGAGAAACGAAAAAGCCCGAAACGGAACCACAGCAAAGGAAATAACGAACCTCAACAGGGAAATTGCCCGAATGGCCCGGAGGGACAGGCAAGACCATTTGATAGAACAATTAATCAATGAGAACCCCCAAGATCCCAATAAGAAAGGTTTATGGAGAGCGGTTAAGGGATTAAAAAAGAAATTCATACCCAATTATGTGAAAATGAAGAACATGGATGGTCAGCATGTCCCTTTGGCCCAACACGCTGAGACTATAGCAAACTATCTAGAACAAAAACACTGGAGCAACCAAGCTGAAAACGAAATCAACCACAGCAAACTTGTAGATAGCAACGATGCAGGGGTAGAGAGTTTCACAATGCAAGAGCCTCTTGGCAAGAGCTCTGTGCAGCCATCAAGGCGGCAAAGCCCAATAAACAACCTGGCCCTGATGGTCTAACTATGGAACTGATCAAGTGACTGGACAATGCCAACCGGCGGGTTCTTTTATTTGTTATCAACAGCTGGTGGAATACAAAAACTGCGCCGTCGGCATTGTTCATGGCCCGTGTTGTCCCTATTTTCAAGAAAGGGGATACAGATATTGCTTCCAATTACAGACCAATCTCCTTACTCAACAGTTTCTATAAATATACATGATGATGATCAGGACCAGAATGCAGGCAGCCACAGAGCATCTACTGTCTAAAACCCAGTACGGCTTCAGGCCCAACAAGTCTACTTCACATGCCATCTATATTCTCAGACGAATTCAAGATTATTCCGAAATTAAGGGGGCGAAGCTGAGCATTGCCTTCCTAGATTGGGAAAAAGCATTCGATAAAATTCAACATGACAAGCCTCTTGTTGCCCTTGGCCGACTGGGTTTCAATTCGCAGTATACAGAAGTCATCGCAGACTGTCACGCAAAGCCTCAGTTTTATGTCAAGGACGAGTTCGGTTGTTCCGATTTTAAAATTCAATCCTCTGGGATCCGACAAGGTTGCCCACTATCACCATTCCTCCTTGTATCAGTCATGACCTGTATCGACATTGACATTCAACAAAGTATTTCCGCTTATGTGACAAATCATCGAATCCCAGGGGTTAATTTTTACATGATCTATTTTGCAGATGACACTGTACTCTTCTCACGGAACAACCGAGCATTAAACGAATTGCTGAAATTGACAGAGAAAATCTCCAGTGGATACGGACTTGGTCTCAATAAAAAAAATACGTTTTTTCATTTTCATGACGGGGCCCAGTTGAACAAAGAATTTGAGGCCATGTATCTTGGAAATGAGATAAACAGGACTGTAAATATAAAACATGAAATCCTCAATAAAATGTCAGAGGTCAGAAGGACCTGGTTTAAGCTCAGCGCCTATTGGAAAGCTTCTGGAGCCAGCAAAAAGTGGAAGCTAATCATTTTTGATGCTATAATCCGGAGTAAGCTTTTATGTGGGTTAGAAACTATACATTTAACCCAGGCGCTAAGCAAATCACTAGATGCTTTCCAATCAAGAAGCTTGAGAATCAAGAATCTCAAAAGACCGTCTACTTTCATAGATCGGTCATGTACGAATCAAAAGATTCTTGAGGAAGCAACTGCCAATGCCTTCCCAACTCGTGGCGATAACAGACAAATTATACGTTTCAGTGATTACCAATATATGAAAAGACGATGCAAATTACTTGGGCATATAGTTAGAAGCAATAATGATGACCCCATGAGACAAGTATCATTCGTTGATAGCACTGCATCCAGAGTTGATTACGGCACCAAACGAGTTGGGAAACCGAGGCAAAACTGGCTGCATTTCACAAAGAAATTTGCATACGAAAACGTTTTAAAACATCATAACACCCATGATGCAAGAATATATGCAGCCGCATTGAACAGAAATTTTTAATTACCGTTCTTTGGCTGTGCCAACGCCTTGCAATAAGCCCGTCCGGACCAGGTCGGCGCGAGGTATGGCTGGAAAAAAAACCTTTCCTGCATTTTTCCTGCGTGGAGTGTCCCCCATGCGAGAAGAACACAACACAGCAAAGAAGTGAGGCTCGGTGGCATGATAAGCAAAAAACTGTATACTATACGATATATATACAATTATACACACATATATATATATATACAGCCACAGCTGAAGACCACAGATAAATTCAAGAAGTGACTTCTACGATCGAACCTCGCTCACTTTGGTGATCGAACCTCTATTCAGTTTCCAACAAAAAGTCCGATCCAGGAGAGAGACAGCTTCTTGGTGAAGAACTATCCTCATCTCACTGAGAAGGCACGAGGTGTGTTCATGGAAGCTCGGCTGAAACGAGCAGCTGAGCAGAGGATGCGAGAGCGAGACGTGACGCTGCTGATGGGACAGGCATGTCAAGTCTCATGGATCGAGTGTTTTGTGTTTTGGTGTTCAGCTTGCAGGGGTCCGGACCCTCATGCCAAGGGCTTGTTCCAAGTGAGCTTTGTTAGAGTCAAAAGTCTGTCTGACAGAGGATGAAGTGTCCTAAGATGACCCGATGACCCCGCATGGACCAAACCATTTTTGCGACCTTGTGTAGCACGAAAGCAGCACGTGAAAGCGAAGATCAAGCGAGAGCTTTGTCATGAATATGATGCGTGTTCATGTATTACATTACGATCTACTTGCCTACAGATTGACATGGAATCCCAAAACCACTGGCTTGGTATTCCGGAAAAATGGTCCTCCACCCATAAGTCAAAGTTCCAACTCCGGGGAAGAATGGATGGAGTTGGGGACCTGTCCGGGCGGTCACCGCCTGACTCCCGAGGAAATGAGTGCCACGGATCAGTGCGGAGCTCGGGTCGACCGACGGTCCCGTCGAGTCGCGCGAAGGAACCGGTCGACCTTGGCTAAAAGCCTTTGTGACCGGACAGGCAAGATGATCAAGATGTGAAGACCTATTGAATAGAATCAGCGTAATACCTATAACCTCAGCGGAAATGATTGCCTAACGAGGTTCTAGGTATATGATGATCAGATGCTTCTGGATATCGCTGAAAAAGCAGATCATTTGGGGCTGACGACGTCCCTGGCCAGGATAACTACTCACAGGCATGTTACTCATCACTGTTCTAGTGGCCTGCAATGGGGATGGGACACACCAGGGTATCACCCCATCCCGCAACAAGCTCGCACCACACGAATCAGGCCGAGCCTCAAGTGCAGTGAAGAAATTGTGATTGGGATGTTCAATGTTCACACATTACATACAATCCTTTATCGTCCAAAGAGCTGTGGAAACCACGGCCTTTCTTAAGGGGCCGGTCTTGTGCAGCCCAAGGAATATATTATATATATACATACACATAATAGAGCTTAACTATAGCTGGCGGATTGGAGGAAGATGGAAGCATCAGGGAATTGAGTGTACCGATTACTCCTCTTCAAAAGAGTCTGCATCATGTGCCCCGCCAAAACCACGTGTGTTTTTTGAGATATCCCATATGAACGAGCATCACTCGTCGTGAAAACCACATAAACGTGCTGTTCGTTGAGACCCGTTTCCGTGTTCGACCCTAGATCCGCGGCCACCCGGATCGACTGTGCCGGAGCGAGGTTCCGTGTGATCTTCGATGGGCCCATGAAGGAATCCCGCGACCCGGTCCGGGTCACCCGGCCGTTCCGGCGTTCCGGCGTTCCACGACGCCCCAGTCGAAACCCGGTGCGAGACCATAGGGGAAATTGGTGCATGTGTGTGTGAAGGTGGATTGAAGAGATGGTGAAGGGGGAAGAGATGATTTGTGGGTTTGTGGCGTTTGGTGTTCTATGTCTTCCTGTTGGGGGGGGCGTCATGGCCCACTGACTCTTGATTTGGTTTTTGCTTGGTAGGGTGGTTTTGGATTGGCCCAGGGTAAGTCATGTTAGGAAATCTACGGCAATTTGTCAATTAGTTTCAACATTTCACATGTTTGGAGAACAATCCAGCAAATCCAAACATACAAACTTGCACATGGGTATTACAAGTCTATGTTTATCTCGTGCATATAAACTGTGAGTGCGCAGCGCTTGTTCCACATGTCACTTGTGGTTGTGCAAAGCTCATGGCAGAAACCGGCCACAGGAACACCCTCAAAATGCTACTGTGATGTCTTTGATTTCTTTTCCCAGCTTGACCCTGCTCTTGGATTCATCCACTGATAGCGGACACCTCCGCCGCCAGGACGGCGTGATTCCATTACCCAGACAACACTTTCCCTAGGGCTCCAGTCGTACCTCCTCAGGTTCGGTATGACTGGACCCTCTAAACCCACCCCAGTCCCACCTTCGAAACGAAGGTATTTGGAGCCCTAGGGTTTGTGAGACTTGATGGGACTTTGTGACTTCCATGACCCAGACACCAGACACGACCTGTCTGGAACTGCCGGACTGTCGAGTACTGTTGGGGGCTGGTTGACTGGGGGGTCTGCGTGGGGCGGCAGTCCTATGGCAGTGCCATGGAGTGTTTGGGTTATGTATGAGAGTTCTAACATGATGTAGTACTTCAGGCCTAATCACCATCAAGAACTCGTGACAAGTGCTTCACGTTTGCCATTTGCAGAATAGCAAAAATGTGTCATGGTAGACCCTGCTGGTCATGTGGACCATCAAGGAGCCACCCGAACTGGAAACTTCAGAGATCCACATACCCTCCAGGTCGAGATCCTCTATGGCCGAGTGAAGAGGCAAACATTCACCCCTAGAGGGTGTGGGCATGAGACGTGCATCGATTGTTGCTAGCCTTGGCCGGTCGGGTTCAAAGACTAACTAGTTCAACAAACAATATCACCTAACAGGCAGAGATTCCCAGCGGTGTGTGCATTCACATGTCATACTTTGTTGACCACCAGTTCAGAGGTTCGGAATCCACAGGTTGGTTTTTGAACTTTGCATGGCGCATGAACCCAACACTCACTCCTCAAACCATGTTCAATCATGTCAATGTAGCTCAATATGTTAGTCCATGTACGTTCCACATGGATTGGTTGGGTATAGTAGTATGACAGTATGATGTAGTATACCTACACCCTCCCGAGGCAATAATTCTTGCCGTAGGCTGTTGAGGCAATATGTTTTGCCGTAATTCCAGGTATGATAATATATGGAAAGATAATTGCCACCTTGTGAAAGATATTACCATACCTGGAAAGGGTATTCATACCCCTCCTAGGTAATTTCATATGAATACCCTTTGAAAGATCACCACTGCCACCTCATCCTTCAGACCAGCTTCGGGAACTAAAGACCAGCCTTTGTGAGCGCACGGCGCTGCTCTGAAGCAGCTGCTCTGAGGTGTTCGAGTCCGACTGTGGCAGCCCATTTGAGCCTGTTTGGTTTAGGCCTCCAGTCATACATCCTCACAGGCATTTGACCCTCCTCAAGTCAATATGGAGCTACTTGGAGTTTCCTTTAACGAGTTTTGGGTTTGTTTAGAACAGTCTCATCCGACAGGTTCTTGGACATGGAACTGCAGCTGCGGGCGATGTCGAAACGCCCGGAAGCCCCAGCGCAGACATGTGGGGAACGAACTGGAGAGGTTCAGGACCTCTTTTGGAAGGGGGGTTGGAGCTGGACCAGTGACTAGTGGGAAGTAAGAAGCCGGGACCCTCCTAGCTTTGGTCAGGTTTTGAGAGGTGGAGGATGGTAGTTGGCAGATTCCATCTAAACCTCGACCATTGCAATGCATGCCCTTGCAACATGGAGTGTATGAGCTGTCCCCTTTACGCCACAACAGGTTCCTAAAAGGCTGTAGCTCTTCCAAACGCCCGTGAGCCACCCAGGCTCCAACCACGATGCCGAAAAGGCCAAGAAGCAGCCGAGTGCTAAGATGCAGGACGACTGGGACTCCTGGGACCCCTCCAGACCTCGCGTCAGACGTGTTCTTCGGCTGTGCCGGGATGCCGAAAATTCGAGAGGCCAAAGGGGATGACGCCAGGATGATTTTTTGACCAGGCCGCAATACCCCGAGAGGAACTAGTTATTTTGTTTGGTGATGTTTCTTGTGGGGAAGTAGTAAGTTTGAAGATGTTTCCTCAGCAGATGTGGCCACGCAGCTTCAGCATCAGTGTTTTGAAATCAGCGCGCGCCCCGCCGGGACAGATGCCATCAACAAGCGAGGTTTGGCTTCTGACTCATGTGTTTGTTGCTGTTCTCATTCGTCCCAATACTTGGACTGGAAAAAAGCAAAGGAACGGTAGTAGGATCGGAACCTGTTGATACCTCAAGTGCAGTCGCTACGGAATGTTCCAGCGCCTGCACCGGTGCAGGAGCTTTCAGTGCGAATAGCGCACTCCTTGGCCAACCCGACCTATGAGGAGGCAAACCGCTGGCCGCCATGTCAAAGCGTCGCGCGGCGCAGGAGTTTGTGCTTTGACGTGCTAAGAAGAACTCCTCAACAGACAACAACATGCTAAGAAGAACTCCTCAACAGACATCAACAGACAACTTGCTCTTATCATGGATTTCCCTACCCCAACCCTATAGGGGTCCAGTGGTACCTCCGTACCGGTTCGGTCTCACTGGGACCCTCCTGCCAACCCATTTGGACCCGAAGTTCGGTGCGTCCGGTGCGTCCGGTGTGAGCCCATTTGGGCACTCAAACGTATACAGTCCGCTGAGAGACCGGTGAGACCCCCATGAATTGGAGACCTGTAAGGAAAGATCAGGAAGATCGTCCCATGAGTTTCATGGGTCCAACCAAGCTGTTGACCATGTTTGTAGCTTGCTCCTCAGTATAGCTCCTCCCACAGTTTGATCCTGGAGCTTCACCTTCCAGGTACGTCGAAGGTATCGCACACAAGGTACGTCCCAGAATCGGTCGATCTTCGGTCTGTTTTGCGCCGCACAGCGATCGGGTCGATCGGGTCTGATGCATTGCACACGGGTCCCTGCTCCGGCTGCGCCATCGACAGGGAGGCACTCCATCCCCTGTCTGGTCAAGAAACCGCCTTCTAAGACTCTTAGGATCTCTTACCCCAACGCGGACCTGTCTGGGAAGTCCCCATGACGGCCTGCCGATCAATTGGCCAGGGGTGGTTGACTGGGAGGTCTGTTTGGGGCGGCATATCTTCCGATCGCTGGAAGGAGACCCATCCGTGTCGTCATCGTTGGGCTAAAGCGTGTCGCGCACTCGGTCCGGTCACGGTCGGTGGTGACGCGCAGAAGCGACGCGCACGAATGTGGCTCGGCTCGGCGAAGCGGAAGCTCGGTGGCCGTATAGAAGTCCCTATAGGGCTGCCCACCGAACTCGTTTCGGTTCGATGGGACGGGGGGGGGGGGGTCTTGGGGGGGGGTCGAATAGCACCGGTCACCTGCAGGATATGGGACAGGAGCCCAAACGGGAGTGGTCCAATCCTTGGAACATGGCACACCAGGAGTCAGAGTGGCATCGTTTTGGGTCTCATCGAGATGAGAGTGGTGGCAGCTGGGCACCCCTAGTCTCGTTCGGCCGGACATGTGACTCCTGGTAGTTTATGTGTTAAATATATCCCAATTTGCATCCTTTGGCAGGGTATGACGCTGCTTCAACCACCAATCCATTGTGCGTGTTCTCCACGTCACTTCCACTCATATCTTCGTGCCCTTGGTGCGTTGGATTCGGTTCCCGAAGCCTCTGTTTCCAAGTTTCATGGTCTGGAACTTGGAGGCAGGGTCCAGGGGTCCAGGTGGTCTCGATCTTCGATCATCATTCGATCATCTTCGATCCGGCGATGTTCCAGCGCTTATTCTTACCAAATCTTCTTTTCGCAGTCATATGCACCAGCAGCCAGGAACTCCTGGGCAGGGGTTTCCCTATTGAATAACCTGAGGCACCAAACAAAACGAATGGTCACTAGTCACTGGCACCAGGTGCCTGCAAGTGAGCGGCGGTGTGCTGGCGTGGACCAGAAATTGGAGGAGCCTCCTTCACCTCCGAGCCCCGCGAGTTGAAGCCGTGCTGTGTAGGTTTTTCACGTGCCCAAAAGAGCCGGGTGGGGTTCTGCGTCGGTTTTTCCCCAAAGAGTTTACTGTTGGGGTTCTATCTTTGAAAAAAGGAGCTGGCCACACGAATATATTGGTCCCAAGATGGAGAAATGGGGACTGCTGAGACATGCTGCATCAGGAACGAGTCGGGTCTCACTAGTAACTCACTCAATCTTAGTCACCTGCTGAGCCCGAAGACTCAATCTCGTCACCTGCTGAGCCCGAAGGCCACTTTTTGACGTGTTGAGATGATGAACCACGTGGCGGCCCGGGGCCGCCCCATGTTACGCATGCCGCATCACATGGGCCTGGGTCTATCACTGGTGTCTTCAACTGATCTCCAGGAGTGAATTGGCTTGCTCGCACCGGTGGCCTCGGTCTAGTACTACCCACCACTTGGCGCGATGGCCTGGTCAACACATGTGCGCTGTTGTTTGGAAGTGTAGGTATAGACGAGATCATAGAGGCTCTCAACTGACGTCATGATTTGGACGCCTGGACCCATTCAGAAACCAGATGACACGACCAGCCGCGGTTCCACAGCAGACATCGCCAGTTTGACCACTTATCATCGCTTGAGTCTGCCACCCTTCCGCCACCGCCACAGCTGTCCTGCTGCAGGAGGCGACCAAACCCAAGATTCTGGAAGGTGCGCTCTCGCGCACTCGCCGTGGCCTCCGGGTGTGGAAGAGGCATAAACAAGGACCCACTGTCGGGGTGGTTAATGGAACACCCCTTAACCTCTAAGGGGCTATCAATAGACACCCCTGGCCCGGGTGTCCTGGTATAGATGCTTCATGAGTTAAGCTCAACATCCACGAGTCTGTCGTCAAGCTCGGAGCTCGGGTCAGGAGAGGTCGGCAGGTGAGTCGAGTTTTTTGTCGGATCTTGGGCACTTTGGAGGTGATGAATCCAGGCCTGAAGAGGTTTTGACCATCCAGTTTTAAGGGGATTGCAGTTAATATCAGTTAATCAAGAGTCTACAATGATATTGGAAGTCGGGTTGGAGCAGGGTTATCCACTGGTACCGAGGTTTTTGGGACTTCTTGGCAACTGGGGGAAAAAGGCTTCGACGATGCCAGGGGCCGGATTCCCCCACGACCCCAAAAAAGCCGAAATGCCAAGGGTCTCGGAATCTAGATCAGAGGTTGAAGAAGCCTAGTTCGACATCTAGTTCGACCAATTATCTCATTACAGTACCCCAGGTTACGAGTCCTAGAAGGTCACTTACTCAACCTTTGCTGGCAAGTCCTATTCTGCAGGGTCGAGAAACTTGAAACGCGAATCCACACCCTTCGCGCTGCATGCCTGGAGGCAGTGTTAAGGGCGTGGGCGGCGTGATCGAAGCCATGCAGAAGAAGTGCCACAGCCACACCAAAGGCCATAACGGAAGCCTACCCCCCACCTCCTTAACCTAGACACTCCATGTATGGAATATATGCATTGACCTCTTTTCAACCATCCCCAATCACATACCAGCACCTTCAAAGGGGTCACCAATGGAAGCCCCTACACCACTAAGGGACCTCCAGGTCCAGGACACCCCTTTTTCAGGTCCAGGTATGTTGAAATGATGCCATTCTCAATCGGTCGACTGAGGATGGGTCAGAAGATGTCAGAAGTCTCTCCGGATTCTGTACCCCTCGGTGCTTCACTTGATTCAGGTCTTCTGAGACCAGTTCCGGTCTCTCAACCGATGTCCGACGGCCTTGCCATGGGTGGAATCGATTCGCCCCGGTGAGTCGACCTGGTAGAACACCACTGATGGAGGATGGAGGTGAACAGGGCGGGGAAAGCATGGGAAAGGACGGTGGTTTTGAGGTCGTGGTGTTTCTGCAACTGGAATTCTTGGGATATTGGAATATACTGTATATCTCATGTAATATAATATGCTCGAACGGTTTATCTAAAGAGTTTCTTTAATATGTTTCCAGGAAACGGCTTCGGAGTCATATAGACCACCTCCCAGGCCTTTTTCTTGTTCCCTTCGTTCGTACAGCCTGAGTCGTTCCCTCCAGGTACGCCATGGTGAAGGGCGAACGTTTAAGAGCGTCTTGGCGACCAGTTTTCTGTTGGCAGGTCGGGCGGTCACGCAAACACGTTGAGGTGACCCAAGGACACCAAACAGCTCATGTGAATTGGTGATACTGAAAGCAGTACTGTCACGAGGGGGTTTGTGCTCTGATCTTTGCAGAAGATTCACTTGCAGGACAGGTGCGACTCGCAGGGAATGAAGGAATGACACTCCATACCTCAAGCAATCCATTCCCCCATTCTCTACTAAGCACGAGTCAGAATTGAAGCGATTTGAATCAGTGCAGTCTGACCGGGGCTGCAGCCGGCCCCTCAAAACGAAGCACTGGCACCGGCCTTTGAAACTCTGTTGGGACAACTGTGTTCCTGTTTCATGTTAATACCATGAGAACAGGGTTCGTGTCAAAAGAAGTTGGTTGTCAGGATATTTGCTCCAAGGTGGGGTTTCAACGAGGTGAGTGCAGCTGGTCAGATGTTTCATGAGATTTATCAAGCTGGTGAAGGGAGCCCTCACACTGTAAGGGCTCAGACCGTTTCAACAGGATACGATCACGCGCGAGCAAAGTGCCAAACACTGCAACTGTTGAACCCGCGCTGGAGTTTGTCCTGAGTGAATCTTCACCAGGATGCCCGCCGGTGCAGGATCTACGAGTGAGCGTTTTTGGGGGAACTCAGCTGCAACCTAATGTTTGGCCTTCTAGTCGCGTCGCAGCAACATGACCCACTGCACCTTGGGCAACCACGGATGATGGTGGTCATGAAGATGCTGAAGAGCAATGTCCATCAGACCAGCAGCTATCGCTTTGGGTCACTGAATCTTGGCAAGAGCTTCCATGGCCGCGCTCATCTCGAGCTTGATGCATCGCAGCTGGATGATGAGAAGGCATTCGGAAGGGAAACCTCACCTTCCAATTGGAATTACGACATATTGTGATATATATGACTGTATCGGTTTTAACAAATGAAGCTGTTGTGCAGCTGATGCATGATGATGATGTGTGATGCATGTGCTGGAAAAGGAAAAGGACCTGGTTTGGTGATGTTTGGAAAGGTTCTCAGGGATCCACAGACTTTCGAAGGGACGACAGGACCGACATAGGTTGGAGTGTCCCTGCTCACCTTTGAACAGGTCACAAAAGATAATTATGACACTAAATGACCACTTGTTATGACCATCCAGTATCCAGTTGTTTTGGTTCGTGTCATTTACCTATGTCATCTGTAGGCTGGAGGTTGAACCACTTGTAGAAACCGCTTGAGTCAGCTTCAAGCGCTTCAAACCGCTTGCCAAACCGTTCTCGGGCGTCCGATGTTTGTTCTCCGTTCCGCCCAGGTGGTGAACGAGACCAAGGACTTGTGGAAGTTAGAAGGTGCCTAAGTTGGCTGCGGTGCCGCATCACTCGAACTGTTGACCTGGTGATGTTGATCTCCCGGTATCTGGTGGAAATCCCCCAAACACCTGGGGAATAGGCCCATAGACCCATATAACTTGATGTCCATGGTTCATGAAGCAAATCCAAGGCTCAAGCGTTTGTTCGGCTCTTTGATTTCGGCGATTTGGTGTCAGCTTCGGAGCTTCGGTGACATGGCCTACAGGCCAGGAACGGATTCTTCCACCGGTTCGACCGGAGCTTTGTGCGGAACTTCTTTCAAGTACCAGGAGACCCCCAACACCTCCTGGAGGGGTAGACTGATCTATGTTCCCCCGCAACACCTCCCGGCCTAAGGGGTAGACTGATCTATGTTCCTGCTAATCCTGTGGGTCTTTGTTCCTTTTTTACCCGGAGGTCCCCCTATTCTAATACACACCCATTAAGCATTTGTTTATAGTAGCCGTTTCTTTCTAGCTTCTCAATAAACTTCCAGTCCAGGTTTTCTTTCAAGTCAGTGGATGCCACTGAGTTGTTTGACAAAGTTGCTGTAAATTCTTGCAAAATCATCCTGCTTTTGACACCCAGCTTTGCGAGGATAAGTTATTGTGTTTTTGCTTGTCTTTCGGATGTTCACCCATTGCAGATCCATCACCCCATCTCACCATCCTCACGGATCTCTCAGCATGGCAGATCCATCCTCACCGATGTCAGGGGAAAAGACGGTGCCCAAGTGCCAAATGAACACAGGCGCCTTCATCCCCGTGTGTCATCCGTCTCGCCCGCCGTTCGTTCGGGGAGTCGGCCGGTCGGCGCGGCTGGTCGGCTGGTCGGCACTCATCCGAAGACGGCCATGGAAGCTGAAGACGTTGTGGGTTGTACAGGAAAATCCGTTTTCGCAGAGATCTTTGGTTTCCATGTTTTGCACATGGATCATTGATCTTCGCAACATGACAGCGATGTCAACAGTTCCAGCTCCCAGTGTTTTGGGAGCTTGAGGGAGACAGCCATGGGGAAGCTCAGGCTGTGAGGGTGAACAAGCTTGGGTCTGTCCGAACTTGTAGAGCCGTCAGTAAACAATGATCACTATGATATTTATTGAACCAGGCCTGCAACCTAACGATCATCTGACACTGGGCCCTGGTAATAGGATAGACCCAAGAAAAAGACTCAAGTGAGTGAAAAAGGATTGGAACCCCTAAGCAAACTCTCTGGAAGAATCACGCTGAGGCAGGATGGCATGGACCATGGAATCAGGGGTGAAATCCTCATACCCAACAGTGCAACAGGTGCTGAACCAACTCCATGTGTCCATGACTCTTTCAAGGAGTTAAGCGGCAAGTGATGTAACACTGTGTTTGGGAGGGTGGGAGCACAGTCGACGTGCAAAGAAACTCAGTCGACCTTACCAAGTTTGCCATCGGCCGGCCGAGCTTTAAATTAAAGAAGCCTTCCATCTAGCGGAATCGTTACCGGCATGTTTTCTCATAGTAAAGAAGTGAATCTAGATCCCCCAACGCCACACCTGCTACTTGGCCTACCTCAGGTGCAAGAGGATGCAAGAGGTCTTCAATGGAAGCGGCAAAGAAAGCAACACAATCCATCCTAAGCTCACAGATGTAGATCAACAGGATCATTGATGAGGGGGCAGAGAGAGTAAATTATATAGATATCTTAATGTGTTATATATAAACATATACCAGCACCTTCCAACAGGTCTCCTTTGGAGGATTGTTAGGCCTTAACAGGTTTCAATTGGTGACCTGTTGGAGGTGCTGGTATATATATATATATGTATATTATACACATCTCTTTGATTTTGACCTGCTATACATACCACTGGCAGATCAAGGTGAACGGTGCTTCAGCTAGCCTTAGGGAGATGTGAGTACGTGACCGATACCCCAAAGAGTTGTAGATGTATACCACCCAAATACATGCAAAGACATGCCAAAACCTGAAAACCGATGGCGGCCCACCCTCATATACGTTTTTTTGCGGGTAATAAGACATATTGTCCGACATGTGCTTGGATTCTCAGCCTGGGTGCCTCAAGCATGCAGATTATAGCTGCGTCTGGTACAACCGTGGCTTGGTTGAAGGAGGATGAAGTGCGTTGCATGGTGGAAGTTGGAACATCTGTTCAGCATCTGAAGCGGTTCCTATCAGAGCAGGTTGGATGCCCAAGGTTTCGGCAACGGCTTTTGTGTGACGAGATGGGCGAACTGCTTGATGAAATGCCGTTATTTTTGATCCCAACTGTGCAGTTAGTAATCCTGAACTTTTGCACTCCTGATGAGGTTGTCATTCAACAATTACTTGATGCGTGTGAGAGCAGTCGGATGGACCAACTTGAGAATTTACTTAAAGCACCGTACAATCCTAATGTAAGCTGTGCAAACACCGGCAACATACCGCTTCAAGTTGCAGCTCTCAAAGGCCATTTGGAGGTTGCAAAGATGTTGCTGGAGGCTGGAGCTGACAAAGATACTGCAACGGCAGATGGGACAACTGCACTGCAACTCGCAGCCGGCAAGGGCCACTTGGAAGTTGTGCGGTTGTTGCTGGAGGCTCGAGCTGATAA